TCCTGGGAGCAGTGCCCATAAAGGAGGTTTAAGGGAAATGACAGCTCAAAGGAGCCACCCCATGACAGAGCACACGAGCGAGCAAAGAGAGGAGTGCACAGAATTTCCTAATCATCGGACGTTGCTGGCACCTTTCAGTCCCGCAGGCTGCAGCTTGCGCGAGGATGCTCTGCCCCCTCACCAAATCACACCAGGATGCAGCAGCATGTTTCTGAAACATCAGAACCTGAAAGAAATATTTTTCTACATCCTGCTTGCCACCAGACAACTTCGAGGTCAAAAAGACTTTGTCAACCTTTCTCTGTGCCTAACTTGGTCTAAATGAGCTATTCCAAACAGGAGATTATACCACACCTTCAGCTCTCCTGTGCAAGATGAATTTTCATTTCTACCTAGGAGGACTTTTACAATCTCTGCTCCCTCCTATGCCTGATGAAGGGCGAGCATACCCAAAAGCTTGCAAATGAATAAAATTATTTGTTTGCAAAGATCTAGTTGGGCTAATAAAAGAGATCACCTCTTCCACGAGTTTTGATTCCTGTTACCAGGAAGGCATTGAAGTCAGGAGAGCTCCGGCACAAAGAGCAAGGCACCGGCCAGCTGCCTTTGCCCTGCTTCGCCAGCAGCAGAGATTCACTGCGACACGAGGACGCAACCTCCCGTCACATCCTGCAGGCAGTGTCATCCATCACTGGCCTCCCCTGCATCTCATCAGCATGCCCAAATTTGTATCCGTCTTATTCAGTGACAAAATTAAGCACAGATTCAAGATCCATGGAAGCTAGCACAGATCAAGAGAGGTCAGGGCTGCTGTGATGAACATCGCCTCTGCTTCTTAGTTGACCAGATCCCTCCACTTCCCATTTCCCTATTCAAGGCTTGGATGGGCCAGAAGATGAACGGGATCCGATTTAGCCAGCACGTGCAGGGGAAGACCTCCAAGGCTAGCTGCAGATGACGAAGGGAGCAACATCTTACTAGAGGAGCAACTCTGAAGCATCACATTTTCTTTTTCCACCAAAGGAGCTCATATTTTGGGGTGGGTTTTTTTCAACCTTTTAAAAATAAAACCATTGAAGCAAAAAAAGAAAGAAAAATAAAAGTTTCTCACACAAAAAAAAGCTGTTTAAACTAACAACTTTTTGTCCTTTTTTTTTTTTCAGATTGTGTTTTGTGGTTTTTCCGGAAAATGTTCATATTGGAGGCAAAACAGCACAAAGAGAGATGGCGGGGGTTGCCAGAACTGCATTTTCCTCTGAAAAAAAGATCTGAGAAGAAGAAGTTTTCTTCTTCTCAGATCTACATGCTACAGACTAAGCCAACGCCTCGACGTCGGGACACCGTGCTGGTCCGAAGGGGATGTAGGCAGTGAAGATCATCCCCCAGCACTTGCTGTAAAGATGGGCTGGTTAAATCAAGGAGCCCTAGTACCGCTCAGCAATGCCCATCTCGTTCTACCAAGTCCAGGTCGGTCTGCTTGGGCACTGTCGGTGGAGAACTGCTCCCCGTTTTCCACCCAAGCCACTGAGACCATTGCTATGGCCATTGCTGTAACTCTGGGGTCCAGTTGGTTTGGCACCCGACACATGCACTGCTTCAGCTCCCTTTCCTGATATCCTCCCCAAGCTTATACCTCACGGTAGTGGTCCTATACCACATGCTGACACCGAATTCACCTGCCTGACCACTGGGTTTTCGGTTCCCTTCCCGAATACAAACCCTCCTTTCCTGCAGCCCTCCTTCAAGAGCTCCCGATCATCACAGGCTGGCAAATGCAGATCGTGGCCCTTCCCCAGTCTGCAGCTCCCAGCTCTCACCAGTCTCTTCCACTGCCTGGCACCTCCCACAGAAGTAAATGTGGCAGAGGGACCCACAGTGTACATGTCCTCGTGGATAATCTGTGGCACGTCACCGGTATCAATATTCAGCCACAACCGTGCAGTGAGGCAGAGTGGTACCATCCACATTATATAGCCGAGAAACCAACACAGAGAAATCAAGCTTAAAATTGTGCAAAAAACACCCATGACTTTTGGGTGTCTGATTCAAGACACATGGAGCCCAATTCTTCCGTGTTCTTAGCATCACGTACCAGCACATGCATTCAAAACACACCTCTCGGCTTGCAAGACCCTTGGGCAAGTCATGCCTCAGGTGTCTGAAGATGGACACCTGCAACGTGAGGATGCACAGTGGTCATCTGGAAAAATGCAGCCATCAGCAATTTGTCCAGCAACACACAGAAACCCTGGGGCAGAAGGAAGGATAGAAACCTTTAATCATGAGACGATCCTTTCCTCTTCCTGCAAGCCCCTACCTCATTCACGTTGTACCTCCCGGCTTCTGGCCTTCTCAGAGACAAGAGCATCCTCAACTACTCAATTCTAATTCACTCCCCCAGCACCAGCCAAACTCCTCCTGCTATTCAAGAAAACATTTTTCATTAAAAAAAATTAATGAATAAAGGATAAATTTTTGCCAACCAGCTCCTCTCTTGGTCTTACTTCTTGCGAGATACCTGCACTTGCCACGAGATGGCAGAACCACAACATGCACGGACCAAAGAGCCCAACACCTCCAAACCCAACGCCTGCCCTTCAGACGCATGACAGCAGCAAACAACTGCTACTATTATTCCCAAAGGTCCAAGGATAGCACCGCTGTAAAACACAGGAAAAGATACTGGATCATATACTCAAACTTACTCATCTTACGAAAAAATAGATGATCATAACCTTCATAAAGATTCTTCCTAAATCTTATCAACGTAGATGACAACTCCAAAAAAAAAAACCTGACGTTTGTTTGATTAGACGATAAAATAATGCCAAACAAAAATCTTTGACGGGCACAGTGTTTCATATTTAATTATAACTTCAATTCAACTCTACCCAATCAAGGTAGCTGCTTGAAAAAAAAATAAACTCTCAAAAAAATCACTGACATTTAGGTCGAGGTCAAGCACTTGAGACTTAGGATGTGTCAGAAGCAAGGTTGCCCACACGGCCTTAATTCGGTGTTTTTATGCATGTGAATTATAGCATGGTCTTTAATTAGAGGATCACATACTATTAAAATAAAACTAAAAACCCGCACCAGCCTCTCCCTCCTTTGTTGCACAAGACAAATCTTGTCTGGTGATGAATTAGGACCATGTACGCGAAACCTTAATTCTTGTTTTTCTTAACCTTTAAAAGGGCTCGATTTCAAGCTAGCATGTCCCTTTAATTTAATTTTTCTGTGTAATTAGATCTCCAGAAGAAGAGAGGTTTAATCTGTCCGTTAAGTGCACATCTCAGTAAAAATGAACAGATCTGAATATTCAAATGCATGCTGAGTATCATCTTATGCCACGAGTGGTCCCATTGGGTCTCATCCTCAGCCGGGATAAACTGATGCGACTCCAGTGGAGACGTATAACAGATTTACAGCAGCAGATACGGCTCAGTAACATCACATGTTCGGAATAAGAAACAGAGGAATCGCATCCGAAGTTGGCCCAAAATCGTGGGCTACAACAGCGGAAGATCTTCACCAAGAACAGCCCCTCGTTTTTTAAATCCAAAGTGATCCACGCTCAAACCTGCATCCTCCATTTATCACTTGCAGAGCCACTGACATAACACTGCTTATCACCAATATCCTACTGATGCTTCAGTCTCATCTGAAGTTTCCTGCGCTCCTCTACTGCCTGCATCTTTCGTGCCAACTCCCTCATTAGCCTTTGTATTTGAGTCACGGGCGGCCAAGAGTACCAATTATAAGTGGCTTCGCCACCCTTAGCTCCTGTAGCTACAATTTTAGGAATACGCCACAAAAGATCAGAGCTGGATTAATTAAAAAAAAAAAAATCGCTGCAGCACCGGAAGGATAATTTGAGGCCGTCTAGAAAATTGTTATTATTTTATTGGCAATGACAGCATCATACAAAACAGTCCGGTGAGGATTAGAAGATTAGCTGGAGGATTTTAAAAGAACGTGCGGTTTTATGTCTTAGCCAATGAGACTGCAGCATACTCAAAGAACGAACCTCTTCCTGGCTCCCGATTGGTTCAGGTCACCTTGGAATGTTAGAAAGCGGCAGCCAGCCAATAAATTACTCCGATTCTGATCAAGCCAATGAAAGACTATGGTAGGAAAGTTGCATTGGTTTAACTGAATTAATTTTATAATTCAAATCAGGTCTCATTAAAACTACCACAAACCCCTGAAGATGGGCAGACCCTAAACCGACTGAAGCGAGGATTAATTTAATTTGGATTAAGCTTAATTTGGAAGTTTGCTGACAAAATGAAACGAGGGAGAGCCAAGATCAAAACTATCTCGGCTCACGTCAGCAAATCCCCAACTTAAGCTAAACCGATTTAAGTGAGCCTTAAATGCCTTAAACCTGTTAAACGAGGAGCAATGGTCTCAAGTTGCAGCAAGAGAAATTTAGGTTAAAGATTAGGAAGAACTTTCTCACTAGGAGGGTAGTAAAACACTGGAACAGGCGACCCAGAGAGGTGGTGGAGTCTCCATCCTTGGAGGTGTTTCTGTCCCAGGAGACAAAGCCTTGGCTGGGATGATGTAGTTGGGGCTGGTCCTGCTTGGAGCAGGGGGGTGGACTAGATGTGACCAGAGGTCCCTTCCAACCCCCATTTTCTGTGATTTTTCTATGACTCTAACCCATCTAGCACGAATCTGTATGAGGAGTTTGCACTGCTTTAAGCAGATCGGTTGTTAACGTTGATTCAGTTCAAATGGTGCGACTTTCCTACCATAATCGAGATCTAGGACTACCTAGAACTGGAAACACTAGACAAGCGCATACCTACAGCGGCATCATGGATTATCCAAACTGTATGCATTTGGGTAAAATTGGGGGTGAATCCGGTTATAGGCTGGGTCGACAGACAGGAAGAAGTGAGCTTGGGTTTTTCTGCCCTCCGTTTAATAACCAAACTCCCTGGTCAGCTTTGCTCACCGTTACGATGATGCCACCCCAGCCCCTTGCTATGCAGTCTTAGCTACGGTGTGCAGGATCGGGGACGGGGAGGGGACATGCCTCGTGCTCTCAGGAGAGCAGCGCCCTGAAGCAAGAAACCCAGAGGTTCCCTCGACTCCTGCCAGCTCCACTTCCATTTTGAACAGCAGCCCGTGGACGGACGCGGTGACTGCGGGGCTGCACTTGAGCCTCTCCCCAGCAGCTGGCACTGCAGCTTCACCACGGCACGGGAAACGTCAGACCAGCGCCCCTGAGCTGTCTGATGGCACAGCCATGGGCCTGCAGAGCCACTGCTGGAATGGACTTTAAACTAGCCCATCTGCTAGGCATCGCGCAGACCTCAAAAGGCTGCTGACCCTTGCCCCAGAGCAGTAGCTCTGCACACTGCGGTAACCTTACCAGGCATGCATCACAACACCATTTCCTTCTTGCTAAAAAAAAGAGAGGAGGATGCAGATGAACAGCTTGAAGTTGGAGCAAGGTTTAGATTTGATATCAAGAACAATTTCTTCCCCATTAGAGCAGTGAGGCAGTGGAACAGACACCCAGGGAAACGGCGAGCTCTCCCCGACTGGAGGTGTTCGAGAACAGGTTGGATATGGGATGATCTAGGAGGAGCTGTGTCTTTTTGTGTTTCTATGAGTATTTCCCACGGATCTGGGCTTTGCTGCTCATCACATGGATCCAGGAGGGCATTCTTCCCCCACCTGCTGCGACACGTGTCGGGGAGGATTTTTTAAGCCATCCCTCAGAGGCATTAGGTGTTGGCTACAGCCAAGGCTGGGGATCATGACTGAAGCATGCTAGTGCTCCTACTAGGACTTAAAAATCAGAGGTTCCTGGTTAGAGAGTCCTGCCCTTCTGCTCAGGGCCAGGCCCAATGCTACATTTGGGGTCAGGAAGGAAATTTTACTCTACAGCCAGACTGGTATGGACAGTGGGGAGTTTTGCCTTTCTCTGTAGGGATGCATGGCGCTCTACTAAGGCTCTCTCGACTGTATTTTAACAACCCGCACAGTGGCAGGACATTAGCCACCACGGTCCCCTGGCTTGACCTGTGACCGATTACACTGGTATGTCTCGTGGCCGTGTCAGGGTTGACTGTGGTTTTGCTAAGAGGTTAGACAATGCATTTGTATGGGATGGTTTAGATAGGGACGGTCCTGCTTCAGGCAGGGGGTTGGACTAGATGACCTCTGCAGGTCCCTTCCAGCTCTGCTTCTCTATGGCTCCATGTCGCTGTTTCTTGTTGTTGCCTCAAGGCATCAGACAGCCTCATTCTCTCTCCTCTCTGCATTCAGAGGATCAAGATGCTTCAGGGTATGGGAAGGTGAAGCAAGAGCTACTTCCCCTTGACCGCCAGGGAGATGCTCACGGATCCTGCTCCCCTAAGCAGCCACCATTGCAAGGTACCTGTAGCGCCCCACCTAGCTCTGAAGGACCAGCCCCACATCCAAGGTCTGCATAACTCAGCATCCCACACAGTGCTCTCCCAGGCCCCAAGTACCCTCAGCCTCACATCTGGCTCTGCACGGAGAGCCCCAACCCCACTAACAGCATCACCCAGGCCCATCAGAAGTCCCCAGGCCCGAGTGCCCTGGGCAGGATACTGGGTGGCCCAGTGCGCCCCGGTGCCGTCGGCAGTGCCCAGCTCACCTGGATGTTCTTCTCACAGTCCGTCTGGTGGTGCAGCAGCAGCTCGCTCTCCAGCAGGAAGCGTTTGCCACACTTGTCGCAAATCTGCATCCGGCTGTGGGTCACGTTCATGTGCTTCTCCAGGTACCAGCGGTTGTTGAAGACCCGCGGGCATTTCTTGCAGGGGTAGTGTTGCTTCTCTTCCAGCTTGACCTTCTGGCCCAGCCCGTCCTGCTCCTTTTTCCTCTTCCTCCCGCGCTGGCCCTCCTCCTCTTCCTCCTCCTCGTCTTCCACTTTGGTCACCTCTTGGGAGGAGGCAGACACAGCCGGCTTGGTGGCTTTGGATGCCCTGCTCCCCCGGCGGGGTGGCACAGTCTTTTCCCTTTTTACTTCGGGCGCCTCCTCTTCGTCGTCCTCTTCCTCCTCTTCTTCTGTGGTTTCCTCCAAGTCTTCCTCCTCACTATGCTCTTCTTCCTCCTCCTCCCCCACTTCGGCATCCTCCTCCTCTTCCTCCTCCTCCTCCCCTTCCTCGTTCTCTTCCTCCCCATCCTCCTCGGTGTCACGCCCATCCCCATCGGGCCGGCTGATCACAGCAGCGGCTTCACTGGGGCTCGGTTTCCCTTCCAACCCCTTGGAGACATTGAGTGTCTGGTTGTTGAGGTTCACCTCCACAATGATCTGCTCCCGGTTGTAGCCCTGGCTGTCTGGGTCCTCCTCAGAGTCCTCCCCCTCCATCTTGCAAACAGCAGCTGGGCCTCCATCATTCTCCTCCTTGTAGTACTGCTTGGGGGGCATGGCAGGGAGGTGCTGGTTGCTGCCACTGCCAGCCCGGTCCTCTACGCGCACAGAGTAGGGATCATTCCCTTCCCGGGCGTAGATCTTGGGGTGCGGGGAATCCACCTCTTGCTTGATCTCGCAATAGTACTGAGGGGGGACAGTGCTGCTGCAGCTGTCCGGGGGCAGGGCCATGTCGCTGGCCATGGCCAAGCTGAGGGACCTGGTGTTGATGAGATCCTGGCAAGAGGAAGCGATGTTATTCATCTGCAGCACGGCAGCGGCATTCAAGACGTCCTGCACATTGCAGGAGTTCACCAGGAGCTTGGAGGTGTAGATGAAGTTGAGGATCTGCTGGAAGCCCTGGGAGGTGAGGGCCTCCAGCGAGAGCTCGACCCGCTGCAGCTGCTTGTTCTGGGTGAAGAGGGAGTGGAAGAACTGGCTGTAGGCGGCAAGGACCCCTTTGTGGGCAGGGAAGATGCTCTTCTGCTGCACCAGGACGATGTCCACGTCGCACAGGTCTGGCTGAAACAGGCGCTGCTCGTTCAGTCTGTCCATCAAACAGGTGAAGTGGAGTGCTACATCCTCCACCAAGGAGTACTCAGTGGAAGGGTAGTCAGTCGTCTTTTCAACTATCAGCTGTGGGGAGAAAGAAGAGACGAGAATTCAGAACCAAAAGCCTCCTCCGTGTCTGGCACGCTGTCCCCCACCCGTCCCTCCTCCCAGACACCAAAGGAGGCTGTCTGACCTAGCAGTCACAGCACTTGACGTAGTGGCAGGACCTACAGTGGCTGGTGACTTTCCTCTGCTCAGGTCCTGGACCCAACCACTTCCTTCTCACAACTGGGCAGAGGAGACAATATTTGCCTACTTCCATGCAGGGATCTCAAAACAAGTTCCCAGGTCCAGACTTTATCACCGTTTCCCTTTTATTCCCCCCCGCCGGTGGTCTTTGACCTGAAACAACAGGATGACCCTGGACTCAGCTGGGTCATGTCTATGGGGTGGACCTAAAGCCCTTGGACCTAAAAGCACCAGCTCCTGCTTCATCTCAAGGACTAGGCACCATGAGGCAAAAAGCCCTGGCCGACTCCCAGCTCCTTACATAATCCAACCACTGACAAAAAGTCAAAGAGGCTAATCTAAGCTATACCTGCAGCTCCTAATCTTTCCATGGAAGCCTGACTTTTACACCTGAATTTCCCCAGGTCTCACACCCTCCATTTGCCAATGCTGTGACCCCCCACCCCAACCTTGGGGCAAGATCTGCTACGTGGGAACCACCATTCTGCACCATCACCAACCTACAGCATTCACCTCGAGAGGAGTTCAGGCATGGGTCTATCTATATAGCTGCTCACTACGAGTGACATGCATGGTGTTGGTGCATCAGAGCCCAACGGGGAGCTGGGTTGAAACCACCAACCCTCCATCTCCATGGACATTGAGCAAAGCAAATACAGGGGAAAGCTTTCAGTTGCTATGCACCGTGGCTGGATTTGATCAGAGCAGGAAAGGCTCGAATGATCACTCAAAACTGATGGGCAAAGTACCGAAAGACTAAATCCGGAATGGGACACACCAGAAAGGGACAGGGAGCCATTACGTGCGGTGCAAGAACTACCCAGCCGCCTTCAAACATTCTCCTTTATTTGTGCAAACTAAATAGCAAGATCCGTGTTTTAGGGTCTGGTTATATACCCCGCGTACAGGCGCGCACACACTCCAGAATACAAAAAAACCCTCCCCAAGATCACAGGGGTACCCGTTCCAGAAATCAGTGTTTAAGCAAAGACTTCATTGGCTTATTTCCAAAAGAAATGCCAGCAAGGAAAGCTATTCTTTCCAGCCTTACTATCCAGGTAGCACAGAGGAAAGGCAAATATCTCCTTACTCTTTCAGTGAGTTCTTCATGTGCGTTTTGGTGACCACCCACATGCCAATCAGGCAGACTGTCACCGCATGATGCAAATAGACAACCTGTCGGTGCACTCCTTTTCTGCTACCATTTACCTATCTGACTGAATTGCACCAGAAAGCCAGAATCCCGTTTTAATGCTAGGATCTTATGCAGTGGTGGGGAAACCGAGGTACAGACAACTACGCGATTTGTGCACGGTCATGTAAGGAGGTCTAAGCAAAGCCGCAAAGATCGCACACACGTCCCTGCTTTTAGGCACGATGCTACCATATCACCCCTTCTCTGCCCTTATAACCCCATCGAGCATCCTCCTATGCTGAAAAGCTTAGAGCCTGTCCACACGAAGCAGCAGTGATTCTGGAGTAAGCCAAGATGTGAATCCATACTTTTAATCTGGAACAAAAGCGTCCACACGGGAAGCTATTCAAGAACTGCTGCTGCAGCACAGTTCATTTCCCAGTAACTTTTCTGGCCCATTTCCCTCTGTAAATGAGCCCGCAATGAAGTTCCCCGTTTTTCCAGTATTTGCATATGTCTAGGTGACGTGCTGTAACAACGCTGGCAGCTACAGCTGCCCGGGTTGCCAGGACCGGTGGCAGATCCCTCTCGGGGCAGACAAACTCACAGGGACCAGACAATGCACCTTGCCCTGCAGGGAGCTGAGCATCTGGCTGGAGAAGGGCAGAAATCAGCAAGGAGATGACATGTTTCAATGCCTCTCTTGGCACTCGGTGCTGGCTTTCTGCCCTGTGGGACCCGAAAGCCTAGTCGCTAGCTGTGCCTACAAAGGCAGAACTGAAGCTGCATGGTTTGGGGGTGGGTCCGAACCCCCACAGTGCCCTGGAAGGAATTCACACCACTCTCTGCAACAGCCCCCATCAAATCCCTGCATCCCTCTGCTTGCCAAGCCCCAATTCGCCCAAAAGCAACCTGCCACATCTCAATGTTTCAGACCTGTGGAGGAAAGTGGCTTGCAGGTACCTCCATACTTCCCAGAGGACCAGTGGTTTCCATCCTGTGGATACCGGTTGTCAGCATCCTTTCCTGGGGGAGGCGTTGTAACTTTGCAATCATCTCTTCTCAGCTGCTGCCTAAAACACACAGACCCCACAACTCTGCCCTGCAATCCCTGCCTCAGTCCCCGCAGACTTTGGCTAAGCTTTTAGAGGGATGTCAAATCCTCATTTACAGACTCCAGGAGCTGGCACATCCCTGCTGAGCTATTCTGGGCTTACTGCACCTTTTGGGGAGGGAAGAGAGTGATCTCGTAGCACAGGTCCCTACTGCTGGGAGTTACCGGGCATCACTGGGGCACGCCAAGGAGAACGTGTCCTGCTCTCCGAGGTCACCCTTCAAAGCACAGGCCAAATCTGCTGCAGACCGCAGGCCCGGCTCTCGCTGCACCCTGGACCACAGGACTCCTTTTTGCTTCAAGTCCGAGGCACGTACCTTCTCCAGTCTACATAACACAGACACCCAAATACTTGCAAAAAGACATAAAGCAGCCCTACAAGCCACCCCGCTGCACGTGACCCATCTCTGGAGGAGAGAACTAGGAGCTCGTGACGGACGCGACCTGTGCTGCAAGGCACTGCACACGTCGGTGAGAAACTCATCGTAAGAGCTTCCAAAAATCAACCCAGAGGCCATTATTTTATTGCTCGAGTGGTGCCAAGGGGCAGCGAGATGCGTGTGGGAATTGGGACCAGGCCGATTACAGAATCGGAGAGATGTAGGGCTGGAAGGCACCGCTGCAAATCACAGCTAGTCCAGCCCCCTGCCTGAGGCAGATCAGCACCACCCATCTAAATCCAGGTTTAACCTATGAACTAAAACTACACAATCAGCCTGATCACAAAACCACACGGGATAGCACCTAACCGGCCACAGGTAAAGCAGAGAGACAGCAAGGGTCAGCATCCTGCTGCTACAAGGGTTGTTAAAATATGCCCCAGGTTATGCCCCCTTCAGAGGAAGGCAACCCCCTGCCCCCAGTCTGCAACAACCTGATGTCAGAGGTGCCAGGCTCTGCAGGTGCCGTTTTCTTCCCAGCTAGGCATGAACGGCTCCCCCGTGGGATTTTGGGGTTCAGCACATTGCACGCATCTTGCATCCAGTCACCAGAGAGCCGGCGTGCAGACCATATCGATCACCAGGCCGTCGGCGGTACCAACAGGCACGTTAAAAGCCAAGAACTGGAATTCACAGCGAAGGGGGGGAGAAAGAAGAAAAACCCTGGCAGTCAATTTGGCTTCGTTCCTCAAACCACAAAAGGACCTAAATTAGCATGTCAGCTTGTAATGATTTCAGCTGCTACTTAGCATCTCTTAGCTTAACATAATCGAAACCTCAGCGTGGTGGGCAGCAGGAAGGGTAGGCTGCCTCCGTGTGCTACTGCACAAGGAGCTGGAGCTAGATCCCTGGGCCCATTGCTTTCAGGGAAAAGAAAGTTACGGGTCTGCCCTAACTGAGAATTTGCTTCGTACGCCTGGGAAAACTCTCAGTATAACCTCATGTGGAACCAAAGCAAAAAACTGCTATACCTGTAAAAACTCACCCACGGGCACTTGCTGAGGGTACAGACGTGATTACTAGGCAGTTGTTAACTCTGGACTTTACTCTGCAGTAAATTTATCCCGTAATAAGGAGCCGGCACAACGCACTCTCCGAAATTCGCTGCCTGCACTAGGTATTATTGCAGCACAGAGCCACGAGATGGTGAGAAAACCAGATTACTTTGGGCAGATCCCCATCCCAGAATCAAGCGGATCAAGGGAGCAGACAAATCATCAGATAACAGAAAAGCAGGGCTGGAAGGGACCTCACGAGGGCATCTAGTCCAGCCCCCTGCTCAAGGCAGGATCATCCCTGGCTAAACCAACCCAGACAGGTGACATATCCCAAGTAACTCCCCCATGGAGAGAGATTACTACACAATTTTCACGGGGTAACTTGACTCTGGATTGGGGTAATCTACTGTGAACGGTGCTGTACGTTATACTTTTACTGGGTAGGCAGTCACCCGTCACCTCCCTGATGACACTTTTACTGGGTAGGCGCATCTGCACCTTTATCCTGGTATAAAGGGAGCCTTCTTTCAGTTTAGCGCCTACTGCTTGGGGAGGAACAGGAAAAGGCCTTCTTAAGACAGGATATGCAATTATCCATGCACTGCAGCAGGAGGAAGAGGCGGGTTGCTGTTGCACCCAAGGGGCTCTCAACTCCTACTGCAACACAGATCAAAAAAATACAGCAAGTACAATGAGATTAGCCCTGTGCCCTGGCAGTCAGGTCATCAGGCTGGCCAACAGAAGAGACGGGTGCCAGTGTATGCGCATGCAAAGTCTTCCTATATCATGCATCTTTTATACACGTGTAAGTAAATACACACCGAGCCAACCATAAACTTTTGCACAGTTCCTTATACAGGCAAGGGCCTGATCAAGCATTTACAAACTAATCAATGTACCAGCCATGTCAGACTTGCCTCCTAATTAGGTGGTATCCGGTACCTACATTATATTTGCGTCCTAAACTGTGGTACACCACCACTTTAAACTTGCTTCTTGCAGTCCTGTTATCCTGCCCAAACTAAGCCATGTCTGCCTGGCATCTCATCGCAGCTCCAAACCTCCCCAATTCTTTCCAGCCATATATCAAGCCTCCCTCATCAGGTGTAGCAATTGCCCCGGCTGCGGAGATGCAGCTCATCCTCAAA